CACGTGTCTTGAATGTAGTTTTAAGCCGGAGAGTGTATAATTATTATTGAATATTGAAAATGTACTTTGTTTAATTTCTCTGGATTGAAATGAAGTGTATTCAACACGATATTGCAAACACTTGCCTTTGAAATTCTCCCATTTACAGGTAGAATTTATATGTATGTATATAACAGGCTGGCGCAAGTGATAAATAGCCATTCTCTGTAAGCATTTAAACTGTTATATAGGGAGTGTAGCACGCTAGGTCTTAGATTTTAATGAAACTTGGCACACATTCCTATATTGATAGATGAAACTAAAATTCATAATGAAATGGTTGCTATGGTCAATGGCTACCATGGCAACCAACATACATTTTACATGGCCTAAAAAATGCTAAATTTTGATGAAAAATTACTCTTTTTGACTAATTAAAAGTCTTTAATACAACAAGATATTTACATGACTTCATCTTTTTGCCAAAATACATAAATTTTATAGTTCTTTAGATAATTTCTAGTACTTGAGTAACTTTACCCAATAGAAAAAATATCGCCCGTTTTAAGTAGGATTTTTCTGGGGAAAAATTGTAGATTTTAGGCTCTTTTGAAAAGCCTGATATAAAATTTTGCGGACATTTGGAAAAAATGAATACATTGGTTTGAAAGTCCATATATAGTTTTAATATAAACTTGGTATTCATATCTTGTTTTCATGTTACCATGGTTACAAACTTACGCTTTTTTTTAAAGAATTCCAGACAAGGGCAATAGGTATCAACAATCAGTTTCCATATAAATACCTGAGTATTCTAAAATGGATTAAAACCAAATTAGTTATGTGGTACACAATAGCAAAAACAAAGAGAAAAATCAATTTTCAAGACAAAAGGTCAAAGGTCAAGGTCAAAATGACTCGATTTAGATGGAAATATAAGGAAACTAAGCACATTTTTTCTGTGTCCTAACTAAAACTTTCGTTATAAAACTTCATGAAAAAACAAATTTACAGTTCTGGTGGACAATAACTACATGTAGCATCACATGAATTGGTAAATACGGACAGAAGGTCAAAGATCAAGGTCACAATGGTATGTACAAATTGCATTTTTGTCCCCCACTTTCACTGAAAGTGGGGGATATTGATTTCGGTCTGTCTTACCGTCCATCCGTCAGTCTCTCTTTCTGTAGCACTTTCGTTTCGGCCCGATGCCTCGAGAAGCCTTTGAGTCTTTGCAATGAAATTTTGCATGAAAAATTCCCGTGGCCTAGGGAAGACTCCCATTGATATTAAGATCAAAGGTCGAGTACATGAATTCATAAATTCTGTCTGTTTAAACACTTTATTTCTGTGCGATATCTCGAGAAGCCTTCGAGCTTTTGTATTGAAATTTTATTTACCACAACTCCCTATGAACTAAAGAAGACTCCTATTGATTTCGAGGTTAAAGGTCAATGTCAAAAATTTATGCATTCTGTTTGTGTGTAAAACTTTCATTTCCGAGCGATATCTCAAGAAGCTTTTGCAATGAAATTGTATATCATAACTCCCTATGGTCCATCGCGCTCCTCTTAAAGTGTCCCCTCTCCCCCACCCCCACCCTCTGACCACCATCCCTCTAGATCCGTACATGCTCTTCTTTTTTTTCCTTAAGCAGGAGACACAGATTCTCTGAATTAGTTTGTTAGTATAGCATTTATACTTGGATATGTGAAAGCGTATCCTGTTTTATACACAAATTATTTTACTGAAACTGGTAAATAAATTACATTCTCACCTTTAGCTTGATGTATAATATGAAAATGCTATGAGAATGTTTTTTTAAGGTCATTTATTAATAAAAATGTAGTTAAGTCAAAATATTGAAACCCTATACACTTACCATTTTGAGTGACTTGTACTTAGAGAATTGTGCTACATGCATGAAAAACACTCTTTTGTTGTTTTTGTAGACTAAGTCCTTGATCTAAAATTACATTTTTGACCCTATTCAACAGCCCACACTTTTCCAGTGACAGTCAAATTATGTTTTCCTGTGACTTTTTTTCAGAGAAGTTGACAGAAAAAGCCTAAATTCATTTTACTTGGCAATATTATTCTTAAAAAATTGAAAATTTAGAGACATTGATGATAAACATTTCAACCCAAATATGGATGGGTTTACACATAATAGATCTGCTATTTCCCAGAATTTAATCATTAATAATCTATTGTAAAAATCTGATGGACCTGTTCGGATAATCTGTTTTTGAATTTATGTCGGTTGCTAAATTTGAGTTGGTTGGTAAGTTTGATGGAATCGTACACCTTATGGTGTGTAATGTAAACATAATTTCTAAAGTTTAGTCCTTGAAAATGTTGAAAATAATAATTCGTCCCTGCCTTCTTCCTACGGTTTTTCATTCTTTTTTTTTAAATGAATATAGTAAATTAACCAATGACCAGGACTTACTCCACCCCTTCCAAGAACCATGTAAAAGCATTTACCCCACATAAATTGGTGATGTAAAAAAAAAAGGATCCCTTGTAAAACATTAAGAAGCGTTATTTATAAATATTAAAGGAAGTGTTTCATTCATAAGTGATTAACCCCAGCCCGCCGCCATTCCCGAGGTATAGATTTTTTTTTTTTTTTTTTTTTTTTTTTTTTTTTTTTGGTTTAAATTTATGATTTTTTTTTTTTGGTGGAAAAGGGGAGGGGGGCTTGTCAGAAATTTATTTATGTTTTCATTATTAATAAAATAAGCTAGATATATTCAATATTAATTTTACTGCTACAAGGTTCAATCTAAACGTATCTTAGTCCAGAGAAATGATAAACTGTTAACTTTAAATATTATTCAGACAATTTGTATTTCTATGCAACCCCCCTAAAAATATTAAAAGTATAATTTTTCCCCTTTTTTTTTTTTTTTTTTTTTTTTTTTTTTTTTTTTTTTGTAGCACTTATCAAGGAGAGATTATTTATTTTCCTGTCAGTCAAGGACAGATTATTTATTTTCAACATTTATAAGAACAGATTATTAGTTTCTAAAATCTGTCAACCCCCCCCCCCCCCCAATCAAATGGTCCTCCCTTTAATGACAGGCATCAACTTACATCACATCATTCAATTTAAACTTGATACACATGTACTTTTTTGTTGCCAAGCCTATTTTTTATCCAACTTTCATCTTCCAGTTTTGTACGAGCATGTAAATGTAGCTTGACTTTAATTATTTAGGTAAAATCAAAAGCCTACTTCTCTCACATTACAATTCATTTTTTTTTTTTTTCACATTTGTTTTTAAAAAGAAACACTGGCTTTCCAGGCTGTTATTCATTGTAATATATCACTCTGACTAAAACACTGTACAGTTCAATATAATTCTGATATCTTAAGTTTATCTTTTTATCCCCATTTTGAAACTCCTAAGACTTGAGGCTTAGGCTTCAATATCATAAATGTGTACACAACTGATTTCTTGTACCATGTGGTCTTGTACATTTCACCATTGTTCACACATCCAAATTTCTCTTTTGCATCCAGGAAATAAGCAAAGAGGTTAAATTTGTATGCACACTAAATAAACAGAAAAAACACTTGATTTTACTTGAAATCCAGGATATATGTTGACAATGTAAACAACTTCCAGTCATTTGTGTCCAATGATTTTTTTATATCTCTCACACTAAAAAGCTCACAATTATCAAAGGGAGATAATTCAATTTTTAAATGAATGTCTGCTATTTTAATTATAGATTTATCATATTTATAGACTGAATACCAACAATGTTTTTAAATGCCTTTTAAAATTAGATGTCATACTTTTTACTTCTGTGAGTAACATGAATTGAAGTAGCCGCATTTCATTGAATAACATTCCCAAAAACTGCATTTTTCAGAACAAAAACAACTTTAGACACCGTCCATGGTAACTACTCAACAGTCATATGATCTAACAATATTTTTTGGAGTAGTTTATGAGGTGGTAAATTCTAGCCAAATTTGATAAAAATCTGTGACTCTGCGTGCCACAAAAGTTTAAGTGGTTACAGAGAATGGCTATTAATAAGGATTAACTTTAAATACAGATGTGTGCCAAAAGTGAAGATAATTTTATTTTTTCTCTATATATTTAATTGAAAAAACATTCTGTTAATTCACGGGAATGGCAACATTCCTTGACAGATTTTACCACAAATTTCTTGATAACCCAAGAAATTGTTTTATTCGATAAAAACAATAGTTTTTATCTGATCAGCATCGATATTTAAAAAAATATTTTAATTTAAGTGCGACATGAAAATTTAAGTCATATACGCACAATAAATTATATAGTCAACATTGATATTGAATTTTAGAACTGATGTAAATGATGAACCATCTTTTTCTAAAAACTAAATATGTAATGATCTTTTAGAAAAAAGATAAGTACACATTTTCTGGTTTAAGAACGGATATAAATAATGAAATTGGACAAAAATTGACCATTTGCCAGCAATTTAACTATATGTGGTTTTCAATAAAATATATAGAAAAAATAAAATTATCTTCACTTTTGGCACAGATCTGTACATATATTTTGTGAAAATTCATAAGAGGAGAATGTTCTCTAAATGAATTTCGCCTTGGGATGGAAGTGTTATCGCTTCGCTTTAATATTAATTATGAAGAAGAGTGGGAAATACCCTCAAATGTGTGGATAAGTTGAAATTCTCGTGAAATATTTCGTATGCTAATGATACTGTGGCACGTCCCAAGCACTTTTAAGATACACTTGGATACACTACGTTTATTTATGACACAAAATTTAATTAAAATTGTGTTAAGCATTTGCGCCTGAACGATTTTTGTGCAACACTTGGAAAAATTAAAATTGACCCTCAAGTGACCAACCAACCAAGTCATGTGATATTATATGACTTTGAGCAATCTCTTTGTGCAAATTGTCTGTATTTAAGTTAGCCTTCACATTGTATCAAAATCGAGCTTGAGTTCTTTCTTCGGGCAGCCTTAAAATAGCTGCGCAATCGCCTACAGCATATATAAAATCAAGAGCGCACAATCGAAGTATAAACTGCGCATTTGCCGGGGATAGCAGAGTTGATGTTGACATCCTAAAACAACAACATTTCAAGGTAAGTTAACATATATAGATATATGTATATGAACAATGAATGTAAGATTCTGCAGTATCGTTTAACAGTAATACGAGGGTCGTTAAATAAATAATGCAAAATGTCATCTAAAAATAGGAAAAATACTTTCAGTCCCTAAAAGCATTCCCTGTTAACATTTACACATGTCTAAAGTCTTTGTACCCATGACCAGAGAACCTCAGCATACTCATCTTTTGGGATGCGCAAAAAACACTGATGAATAGCATTTCCTATGATATACTCGAAATTGTAAAGTCTTCTTTTGATTGTTTTCATAAAAATGTTTTCATTTTTGTTAAAAAAAGATCTCATAATGGCTAAGATCTAGCTAATATGGGGGGTGGCTAGGCTTTGTAAACTTACTTTTCTTCAAAATATTATTTATTTCTCTATGCTTATTTGCAGCAGCGTTGTCAGGTACAGAAAAATACCCTGAGGACCGGTATTTGGACTTGCTTTGTAGGAAATCTGCTTAACTTTCCAGAGTGAAACTTTAACATAAAAGTTACCATTGATATTTCTTCCTTTGGCTGTATGTACATGTTTTACTGAACCTCTTGAATAAAAAGAAAATTTATAAAACATATTTGGGGCCCTTGCTTCTCTTTGCAATGATAAGACGACAGCTTCCTCTTTGATTTAACATTTTTTTCTTGATCTTCCTTTTCGGCTATAAAAAAAATCACCCATGTTACGACATCTATCACTCAAGTTTATCAAATCATCTTTTTTCTAAAAATGTTCATTTTTAAATAGACCATTGGGCCAGTTAAAGTGTGTTTTCTCTTGAGCATTTGTAAGGAAATACGGCACCCCTCTGATAGAATTATTGTTAGATTTATTTCATTTGTCAGAACTCTATAAATTGTGAGGATGATATGTTTAGAGTCTTAGCAATATCTATCAAAGTAAATATGGCATTTTCGGATATCATGTTGCTTACAGCATTGATATTTTTTGGTGCCCCTACAGATTTCGATTGATCAGTTTGACTGCAATATTTTACTTGTACTTTTTTACTTTTGAATTTCCGAATCCATCTGAAAACTATACGGCGTGAAAGACAAGTCTTTCTACACATTATAATCATATCTTTAATATTGGTTTTTCATCTTTTTTATGTAATAAAGCACAATTTTCACATACGCCCTCATTTTCATCTTCTTGGCAGAGATCATTTTTAAACAGTATCAGCTCAGTGTAGTGACCATGCTTACTTTAAAAGTGAATTCCTTTGCGAGAACAATAGGAAAAAGCATGGGGTTTTCTGTGATTAGGGGTTCCTTCATAGAACTTTCCAACTGTTAAAAAATAAAACTAAATACCTCTACATTTATTATGATAAACTGTATGTCGCATTACTTTTTGAACGACCCTCGTATATTGGGTTTTAGTTATCGTTTCACTGCAACACAACTTCCTGAATTTACATGTTAAACATATGCTTTAAAAACAACTATCACCTTCCGAAACTGTTGATAATAAGCTGGGTTAAGACATAAAAACAAGTCTTTATTGTTTCAGCATAAAATAAATTTAATATCTGGGAGATCTTTTCATTTTCAACCATGATTATCTTTTGATAGATTCTTCTTGGAAAAAATAGTGCATAAATTAAAAACAAACAAAAAAATACTAATTGTAAATATTCTCAGCAAAATTAAATACTATATATATATATATATATATATATATATATATATATATATATATATATATATATATAACTAAGATTATTTTTTTGCTAAATTACTTACTTTATACCGCTAATTGTAATGATGGCCTTTAAATCATTATATAAGTAAAATATCACACACACACACACACACCCACTCACACACACACACACATGGGCCGCAAATTTTACCTCCAATTTTTTTTTTCTGCAGATGCTTATGTAGATTACTATGCAGACATGGTTTAAACAAGTTTAATTTACGGTATAAAGAAGCTAAATGTTACATTTAAACAGTGTGGTCTTCCTGTTTTGCAGAAATTCGTAAATTTTGCTATTTAATTATGGCCTTACCATACAATCAGTGGACATAAGTAGTCTACCAACAGGGGTAATGGTTCCGAGATTCATGAACCTATTCTGCAAGGGAATACCCGCATTATTTTATTAGCTATATATATTAAAGATGTACTTCCATAAGGATACCCTTTTAAAGCTACTTGCCTATAATTTAAAAAAAAATGAATCTACACTTCATGGGATTCTTATAGTAAAAATCTGACTAATTGCATCCTTCTTGTTCTTGAGAAAACAATGTGCATGTAATATTATGTGTTTGTCAAATTTTCAGAATGGCAGTCTGGGTATCAACCATGGGGTCAAACATACCAGAGGGAGCAATAAGAGCTGGGTATGAGGGGGATGGAAAACCACTTTTTATTGCCAAGGCTAGAATAGAGGGCACCATGACGCCTGGAAAATGCGGATTCCATCTTAATGGAGCCCATATTCCATATGGCACGAAAGAACAAATCATTAATCAATACGAGGTCCTGGTTTTGCCTTTAAAAAATTTTGGGTTTTTAGATTGGCAAAAGGCTTCTAACGGCAACGTGCCACACAATGCCTACGAAACGGACGGTGGAATCTATGTTGGTAGGGCGTTCCACAAAGGGAGCTTAGTGCCAGGGAAAATCCATGTTGAACACCGCTGTGCATACATTAGTTACGGAGGGAAAGAATTCAGTTATAAAGATTATGAGGTCCTGTCTGAGATAAAATGAAAACTGTACGACATTTGGAGCAATTTATAAAATCGACAGTGCTTTACTGAAAATACAGCATTTTTATCTGTTATTTATAATGTGAATTTTGTAACTTGAAAAAATGCTAGCACATATATCAATGTCTCTGTATTCTTAATTCAGCCTTTGGATTTTCTACTCTAGCGAAGTAAAAACAATAAAAATTATATTCAGTTTGCATATTTTAGAAACTTCTGTGTCTTATTTACGCTTTATCCCCCCCCCCCCAAAAAAAGGTCCATTCTTCTTTATTTTTTCATCTGCCAAAAAGAAGAAAAATAAATCCTCGTAATTTCCTGCCAAATCCAGACTGTTTGGCGGTACAGCCATGAATATTATTTTGCTTCGAATGTAGATGTATTTGACCATCATTTTCCAAAATACAATACAAAATACACCATTCTTGCTTTCTATCCCGACCAAAATTATATAAATGAGTTTTAAAGCGATGTATGTGTGTGTGTGTGTGTGTGTGTGTGTGTGTGTGTGTGTGTGCGCGCACACACACAAGAAAAGCTATTTTACATGTATCTATTTGTAAATAATTATACTTGCTATATTATACAACTGTCACAAAGAACATTTTTCATTGACCAGAAAATATAGCAGGATTCCTCATCATTTCAAATTTTCCTGTGGTGCAAACTTCACTGATGTGCTAATATTCGCGGTCCTTTCGCGGAGAAACCACTAAATAAATTGAAAAACACTCTGAATCACTAGTTTGACACACAAATGGTATCAATTATTTCGCAAATTAAAAAAGATATATAATAAAAACAGTTAATGGATATCGAGTACACCAAAAGTTAGAATGTAAAAAAAATAAATTAATTTATTACAACCCACAACCCCACCCCAATCAATACAATCTGAAAATTATATATATATATATATATATATATATATATATATATATATATATATATATATATATATATATATATATATATATATATATATATATATGAAAGATGATGAGCCTTTTTTCTAAAGGAATGTGTTTGTTTGTTTGTTTGTTTGTTTGTTAAACGTCCCTTTCGAGAATTTTTCAATTATATTGAGACACCACCACTTGACGATGGAGGGCTGCAAATGTAGACTTTTACTCGGCACTTAGGGCCATTGATCAGTGAGGGATCTTTTTCGTGCCAGCATCTACTGCGACATGGGACCTCGGTATTTACGTTGTCATCTGAAGGACTGGTCTCCTCCGCAGTAGAATTCGAACCCGCAACGCAAGGATCAACTCCTTATTCCGCGACTCTTGAGCAAACGCTCTAACCATTGCGCAACGCCGGACTTAAAGGAATGTGAAAAAAAATTCACACAATTATGTCTTGACAGCTGGAATTGATTTCTTTATGTTTAGTATAGCTTAGATTTTTCTCTATCTGTATACTATGTAGAAAGTAAATAATTTGAGCCTAAAAGTAATAATTTGTAAATATTCTGTGGGAGATTTTATTTCACTTATTTTAGTCAGAAACTAATATACATTTTTTGAACAGATCATAAATATGATAAAAGATTCAAGTTTGTATTTATTCAGCACGAAAAACTACTATGCCCTCAAACAAAAACTTATAACTTAAATCAAATTAAATGTAAAAGATAAACACTCCTGCTACCAGTAACGAACACTTACGAAAAATATTAACTTATGTTTAAAACGTATAATTGTGCATACTATTCTACATCGCATATCATATCGTTTTGTCCATGGCCTACTTTAAAAATGAGTATGTAATAAAGCCGTTCTTGATCTTAGTAGATACTTGTAATAATACGGTGAAGGAAACAGGCTAACATCTACACTCGAGGAGCATCGTGGTTTGTCTCAGCACATAATCGGACACACAATGCCACACACTAGAAGTCCTTATTACAAAAATACCAGCTCAGTTTTAAGAGGTCTACCTACCATACAACAGGCGCGAATCCACGAATTTTTTTTTCCGGGGGGGAGGGGGGGGGAGAGGGGGGTCCATCCCAGTCAAAAAAATTCCAACTCAAAAATTTCCTGACAAGCAAAAAACAAAAAAAAAAAAACAAAACAAAAAAAAAAAACAAAACAAAAACCTAAATTCCCTTCTTAAACGTATTAAAACCCAGAAAATCTGTTGCCAAGCAAAAAAAAAAAAAAAAAAATGGGGGAGGGGAATTCCATTTCACAACGTGTAAAACTCCTATTTCGTAGTGGCGATTTTGGGGTCCACTTTTCTGAGGGGGGTGGGGTGGGGTATAAAGTCATTCTTTATTTGCTTCAGTATATACTTTTAATAACTGTGCAAATTCCAGGGGGGGGGGGGGGTCCGGACCCCCCGACCCCCCCCCACCTCTAGATCCGCGCATGATACAAGAACCTGTGTTATGCGACAACAAAGGCAATGCTGCAGGTGATCATTCTATTTTTCATGCTTATTTGCGGGTTGCAAAGCTTCCTAGAGAAAGCAATACTGCTTGATATTGAAAAGTTCAAGGCTGATCTTGCTTCTTCGTCAGTTCTTTGTGATAAAGACGGCTCATTGGAGAATCTTATCAATAGCTACGTCCATGATGCAGCACTTTTAAGGTGTACTATGAAGAAATCAACGGAATATAGACGTGCACAAATAGATGCCTTTTTAAACTGATTTTAATCTTGTAAAGCTATTTTATTATCAAATGACTTCAATAATAATCGAAACTAGTGCTAATTGAAACAGGAACTGATACAGATGTTCCCAAAACGCTCCCTCACTCCCCCATGGACCTCATTCCCTACAAGCTTCATTAATTAATTATGCGATTCTTTTGATAAATAAATCATCTACGTTTTATTTTCATAAGTATTTTATCAAAAAACAACGCCGGTAAATTCCTTTGAGTATTAGCCAATCAGATTTCAACGCACGTACATCCCCATGTTTTCTAGATATTTCACAAATCTTCCCTGTAAAGAGACCCACAATAAAAAAAACTATGTGTGAAATCTCAAATATTTTCATTGAAAATTATGAGAGATACAGCCATATTAGTATTTAGCCAATCAGAATCCAACACACGTGCATGCATGTTCTTTCTTTCAATTTTGATAGTAGCAAAATGTAGTAACCCATTATACCTATCAATATTGTAAATTTGTTAAAAACTTAGAAAGTTACAGCCATTTAAAATTTGATCCAATCAAACTGCAGCACAGGTGCATGTGCATGCGCGTGTTTTCAAGATATCTCATATATATCATAATTAATGTAGAACCTCTTTTGTACGACTATCTTTTAAATTTCGAAGTTTTTCGTCAAAAAAACAAGAAGGTTATTGAGATTTTTGTGTCAGCCAATCGGAGCGATGCAGAGTTCTCCATCATTTCAAATTTAACTGTGGCGCAAGACTTACACGAAGTGCTAATATTCAAGGTCATTTCGCGACCGAATTCGCGAAAGAACCACGAAATAAATTGAAAAACACACAACCACAACGAATCAATAGTTAAATACACAAATGACATTTATTATTTGGAAAATTAATCAATAAGTTTAATAATAAAACTATTCATCGATATCGATTAAACGTATTAAAAAACAAAAATTAGGAAGTTTCCAAAGTATATTCATACTGTGAAAAAGACCCCCCACCCCACCCCCACCCCACCACACCCCCCAATACGTACTTATAAATAAACAAATATTCGGTTATAGAATCTGAAAAATAAAGGTACCAGTAACAACAAGTTTCAAGCATTAAACAATATTTTTGAATTTAAAAAAAAAAAATGTTTACAAAAGGTAAATTAAACAGCGTTTATCAAAGGGCAGAGGAAATTCTGGTAAGTAACACAATCACGCTAGGTATATATATTTGCAATCATTGGTCTGAAAACTGAAATTTCTTAAAACTTGTGAATTAAAAAAAAAATACTTAAGCTGTTTAGAGTCATAAAATAATATTTTGTTGGATCTATCGCTAATTTTTCAACATTACAAAAATACATGATTACGAAACTCGTACGATGTTTGACTCGCAGTGTCAATGCAATTTTAAAGACGTGGTTATCTGTAGACCTATAAAAGCATGAATTAATTAATATTAGAAATTTCATTTGCACTTATCGTGAAGTGTGAAAAAATGGCTTGTCTCTTTTCATTCAAGTGTCCAGCGAGGTCCAGAAGATAATTGATTGCACAAGCTAAATAATGGGCCCTAATTAGATGAAATTAACGGTTTAGCATTCGAAACTGAAAACGGTACGTAATTTGGAGGTTCATTTGGTTTACAAATTTATATTTGTCTTACTGACGACAACGATCTTACTGTGGCGCGAATATTTTAACTGTGGCGGAACTATGGCGCTGATTTTTTAACTGTGGCGCTAAGGAATTTAACTGTGGCGGGGCCGCCACGTTAAAAGGCCAATGGAGAACCCTGCGATGTACACGTGCAAGCGCGTGCTTTCTTGCTAATTCAACCACCTCGTCTTGTCTACACCACTAATATATGTTTATATAATGAGGCTCAAAGCATGTCATCAAAAGTAGGAAGGTTAAAGTTGGTTCAATTGTATCAGTCATTTCACTCCTCGCACGCGCGCACACGTGCGCGCAAAATGACTTTCGTTCTGCACATCTAGACAATATGCCTGTTAATTAAAAAAAGGTTCCATCTCAATCGGATGAATAGTTTCCGAGAACACTCGGGACAAAAAAGTACCGGAGAAGACATTTTGAAAAAAGAAAGTAAAAACAATATGTTCCAAAACTTCGTTTGGTTATAATATTATATTTATTATAATATCATATATTATACAGAGATATAAACAATTAAATGCGTGCTGTTACATATAAATATAAATTCTCTCAAACATGCCAATTATGACAAATAAAATATAAAACACAGGGCTTAATAGGTTTTTCAGCGAGAGTTTCATAACTGAGTAAATCAATAACTCTAATATATTCTGTAGTATTTCTACTATATTCAAACAATATCTGAAGACTCCTATCTGACTTGTGTAGAAAAGAGATATTTCATATTCAGTATATCTTGATAAGAACATTCTAATCAAGAAAAAAGCATTTCTCAAGAAAGCAATAAATGTATAAGCATGTTTACGTGTACTGAACATTGATTCACAAACAAGATCTAAATGGTGTTCAGAAAGTTTATCTGACATTTTTCTTTAAATCTCAAAAAAAAAGTT